ATCACATTTTAAAAAGCAAAAAGGTTATATTCTGACTATGCAAAGACAACTGAGGAACAGTTTTAGATATGTGTACATGAGTAATTCATCTCTTTTTTATTTCTTTGTTTCTTGGGAAAAAAATACTTGAAAATGTCCTCTTAGATATGAACAAATGCAAGAACTCGGCAGGTGCAGGGCTGGGAGTGTAGCTCAGTGGTGGAGCACTTTCCTAACGTGTGAGGACACAGAATCAGTCCTCAGGTCTAAAACAAGGCAAACACCAGCTCAGCATGAAAATGGAAAGAGAGGCTGGAGTCACTTTGAAGGAAGCCATCCATCCATTCAGGCCCGGCTTTCACTTTCTGTTAAAGGGTGTGTGAAAAAAGGGTACTATCTATAACAAACAAACACCCCCGTCCCCAAAATCAAAGTTCATGTAACACATGGAAAATGAAAAAGTAAATAAGTAAGTTGAAAAGAGAGCCAAGTTATGCAGAAGAAAGAGACAGAGGTAGTTTTGTTTTCAGGGCTAATCTATATTTACTTATTTGACACAACATTATAGTGATTTAAGAAGCAAAAATCTCCCCTACGACCATGTGTTTGACTGACAACTACTCCGAATTTCATCTGGGACTATGAGGAAACACATCATCGCTAGAGCAAAGGCTCGAGAGATCTGTTACTCACTTGCCTCACTGCTAAATACTACAACTAGCATGCAGCACTCTGCAAGGCCCTGGGCATGTGCTGGGGTGCCGGTGGCGAGAAGTGACAAGAGGAAGGAACTCTGTGCACTGAGGTGTCCAGACAAGGCCGAGAGGTCACGCAGGGCCCAGCATCTGCCATTCTCAAGTCTTGGGCGATTCCTTTTTATTTTATATTTGTACAAAAGAGTGGTTTGATGCATGGGCTCACTTCTGGCCAGAAGAACACAAATCTCATGCATGGGCTCACTTCTGGCCAGAAGAACACAAATATCTCATCTTGATAATTTTTAAACACTTATTACTTTCTATTTTCCATAAACATGCTAGATTCTTAAACAATCTGAATGACCACAAGGGTATGCAAAACATCCTTCAGTTTGTAGCAAAGAAGCATCAGAGTAGCTAGTCCTATCTCAGAAAAATCTACAGAAACAAAGCTGGGCATTTGGGAAGTTTATGTATATACCAGGCATATGAAACCATATTGACTGTACTGGGTAAAAATGGCACGAATACTGAGGAGTTAGCAGTTTGTGATCCAACCGGGGGAGAAGACTCCAGACACCAACACCTGAGCAGTAGCTACGAGACTCAGATTTAATTCAGTGCTTCTGTGTCGCTAGCACAGTACCACAAACATTAGTGCCATCACTGCCCTTGATTCTGTGTGCATTAGGCACTACTATTCCATCACGTGATAACACGCATTGATCTACACTCGTTTGAGACTCTTTACAATCAGAAAACTGCCACGGTGCACTTTTCAGCATTCAAGAATCTATAAATGCAACAGAAATGTGAATACAGGAGCCACAGGAATGCCTGTAAGGTTAAATAAATCTCAGAAGAATGTAAATAACCTAAGGACTGAGAACTTTACTCAAATACATTAACATAACAAATTTCCTCAATTAATGATCTAATTTTAATAAAGAATGAAACCTGGAGAATGCTGTGGCTACTTCCGCAGTGCACATAAAGGAAAGTGGATCGCTCTACAGTTGAGTACTTTTGATGGTTGCATGGTGACTAACAGCTCATCTGTACCATTCCTTACCTGACGAGACACATTAAACTAATCAAGTAAAAACTGGTCACTTTTCTAGGAGAAAACTATTAATCACTAGGAAATATCCAAATGCAGATCAATATTGTCTTTATTTAAAATTATGAGATTGTTTCATTTTTTTGCAATTTGTCCTTTTTTTATTATTATCATTTAGTCAATTTGTGTCCTGGCTGTGGCCTCCTCCCTCATCTGCTCCTAACCCCATCCTCCCTCCTTCTTCTCCCCCTATGCTCCTCCCCTAGTCCACTGATAGAGGAGGTACTTCTCCCCTTCTATCTGACCCTAACCTATCAGGACTCAGCAGGACTGGCTGCATTGTTTTCCTCTGTGGACTGGCAAGGCTGCACCTTCCAGGGAGTAGTGATCAGAGAGAAGGCCATTGAGTTCATGCCAGAGAAAGTCCTTGCTCCCCTTACTAGAGACCCCACTTGGAGACTGAGTCTATGGGCTACTTCTGAGCCTCAGTTTTAGGTCCTCTCCATGCACTGTCTTTGGTTGGGGTATCATTCTCTTCAGGGACCCCAGGACTCAGTTTTTACGGCTCTGATGATCTCTTGTTGGAGCTTCTGCCCCCTCCAGGTCTTTCTAGCTCATCCCTATTTCAAAAGATCATCCTAAGTGAGGTATCCCAGAAGCAGAAAGACACACACAGTATATACTCACTCATAAGTGGATATTATATATATAATATAGGATAAACATACTAAAATCTGTACACCTAAAAAAACTAATCAAGAAGGAGGTCTCTGGCTAAGATGCTCAATCCCCATTCATAAAGGCAAAGAGGATGGACATCAGAAGAAAGACTCTACCTAGCAGTGTATCAAAGCAGATACTAAGACTCATAACCAAAACGTTGGCAGAATGCAGGGAATCATATGAAAGAAGGGGGAGTTAGTATGACGTGGAAAGGATAGGAGCTCCACAAGAACCAAATATATCTGGGCACAGGGTCTTTTCTAAGACTGATACTCCACCAAGGACCATGTATGGATATAATCTAGAACCTCTGCTCAGACGAAGCCCGTGGTAGCTTAGTAACCGATTGGTTTCCCATAGTAAGGGGAACAGGGACTATTTCTGACAGGAACTTAATGGTAGGCTCTTTGATCTCCCCACCCCGCAAGGGAGGAGCAGTCCTGCTAGGCCACAGAGGAGGACTTTGCAGCCAGTCCTGAAAATACCTGATAAAACAAGGGCCAGATGAAAGGGGAGGAGGTACTCCCCAATCAGTGGACTTGGAAAGGGGCAGGGAGGAGATGCGGGAGGGAGGGTTTTGGAGGGAATGAGGGAGCAGGGATACAGTTGGGATACAGAGTTAATAAAATGTAACTAATAATAGGAAAAAAAAGAAAAAAAAGACAACAACAACAACAAAAAAAAAAAAAAAAAGAAGAGGGAGAGAACAGGGAATAGGACAGGAGCCTACCATAGAGGGCCTCTGAAAGACTCTACCCTGCGGGGTATCAGAGCAGATGCTGAGACTTATAGCCAAACTTTGGGTGGAGTGCAGGGAATCTTATGAAAAAAGGGGGAGACAGTAAGACCTGAAGAGGACAGGAGCTCCACAAGGACAGCAATAGATCCAAAAAGTCTGGGCACAGGGGTCTTTTCTGAGACTGATACTCTAACCAAGGACCATTCATAAAGATAACCTAGAACCCCTGCACAGATGTAGCCCATGACAGTTCAGTGTCCAAGTGGGTTCCCTAGTAAGTGGTACAGGAGCTGTCTCTGACATGAACTGATTGGCCTGCTCTTTGATCACCTATCAAAGGGGGGAGGGGAGCAGCCTTACCAGGCCAAAGAGGAAGACAATGCAGCTACTCCTGATGAGACTAGGATCAGAAGGAAGGAGAGGAGGATCTCTCTTATCAGTGGATTTGGGGAGGGACATGGGTGTAGAAGAGGAGGGAGGATGGGATTAGGAAGGGAGGGGGGAGGGAGCTACAGGGGGGATACAAAGTGAATAAACTGTAATTAATAAAAAGAAAAAGAAAAAAGAAAAAAGACTCTGCCCCCAAACTGCCTGAAGTTTGGCTATGCATCTCAGCATCTGCTTTGATACCCTGCTGGGTAGAGTCTTTCAGAGGTCTTCTGTGGTAGGCTCCTATCCTGTTCCCTGTCTTCTCCTGCTTCCAGTGTCTATTGCATTTGTCCTGAAGAAGGACTGAGCATCTTACCCAGGGTCCTCCTTCTTGCTTAGCTTCTTTAGGTGCACAGATTTTGATATATTTATCCTACCTTATAGGGCTAGTATTCACTTATAAGTAAGTATATACCATGAGTGTCTTTCTGTTTCTGAGATACCTCACTCAGGATGATCTTTTCTAGTTCCCACCATTTGCCTGAAAATTTCCTGATTTCCTTGTTTTTCATTGCTGAGTAGTATTCCATTGTGTAAATGTACCACAATTTCTGTGTCCATTCCTCAGCTGAGGGGCATCTGGGTTGTTTCCAGATTCTGGCTATTATTAATAGAGCTGCTACTAACATAGATGAACAAATGTCCTTGTTGTGTACTTGAACATCGTTTGGATATATGCCTAGGAGTGGTAGAGCTGGATCTTGAAGTAGCACTATTCCTAATTGTCTGAGAAAGAGCCAGATTGATTTCCAAAGTGGTTGTACAAGTTTACACTCCCACCATCAATGGAGGAGGGCTCCCTTTTCTCCACATCCTCTCTAGCATGTGTTTTCACTTGAATTTTTGATCTTAGCCATTCTGATGGGTGTAAGGTGAAATCTCAGGGTCGTTTTGATTTGCATTTCCCTGATGGGTAAGGATGTTGAGCATTTCTTTAAGTGTTTCTCTGCCACTTGATATTTCTATACTGAAAATTCTCTTTAGCTTTGCACCCCATTTTTTAATTGGATTACTTGGTTTGCTGGTGTTTAACTTCTTACAACAGGAAATGGTGAGATAGGTAAAAAGCTTAGAAGATTTATTATGTTGAAGGGAGTAGATGTATTATAGATTACAATGTCTTATAAAGTTTCAATTGGAAACTACTTACTGAGGTTCATTTCATACAAGCATGTTCAGAGACTAAAAGGAAATACTATTTTATGTATGTTACTATAGTAAATAGCACAATTAAGTGCCTTTGTCCAGTACTGACAAGGCAAAAATTTACTTCATAATAATTCAGTACAATGACCTTTAAGAGAAATGATGCATTAGGAATGATGCATTTCTCATCAATGTTAACAATTCAGAGAGAGAAAACATGCCTTACCATTGGTGGTGCATCGACTTGATGGATGCAAGGCCTTCTTTCTATGCCTGTAAATGCTGTGGAGAGGAAAGAACCACATTTAGTTATTATGCCCATTTTATTTTGAAGAAATTTATGTCCGCACGACATGCCTCATAGAGTTTGCAAAAAAGAAGCCTTCCTCAGGTGGCAGCATCCTTCCAAACTGTCACAAACTCTTTGGTCAGGAACAGTTGGTGAGTTCAGGGAAGATACCCAATTTAAGGACAGCTAAGCCAGTTTTCCCATTCAAGTGGTGTCTAGCAATAGTTCAGATGTATTCATACCCTGTTTTCAGCACAAAAGTTCTACCATTATCTGTTCCCAGCTGCGGTTCCTCCAGGGAAGGTTTATTTCTGAGTTGAGGCCATCAGATTTATAATGCAACACCATAAAAGCTGTGAAAGAATCACTGCTTCCTTATTTTCTCAAAGGAATAAATAAATCCATTAGAATTTCTCTTTGATGTATCCTACTGTGATATATTCTATTATTTATTCAATCATCATCAAATATCATAAAAAAGTTCTGATTTTTCTCTCTTTACAATGGTAACAATGAGGGCTAATGTTGAGAAATATCCTTTTATCGGATGCGGATTTATCCTTTTGTTCCTCGTGTTCTTTACTGCACTTCTTTGTGATAAGTTTTCTGTGCAGCATATAACCTCCACATCTGATTTATAAGACACTAGTTCAAAGTCGGCTTGAGCTTAAGTGAACACAGGTGTGGGTCTCATTTACTTTCTAATGTCTGTTCACCAGCAAACATGTTGAGTATGAATATTTTAACAGCTAACTAGAATGGTTTTGTTCAAACAACACCAAGGGTGTCACACAGACCTTGGAGCTGAGAACTAGCGTCTACTATTAGCAATTAGAGAAATTCCCAGTTTAAGCAAAAGGCTTCATTCCTCTCTTTTGTAAGTACTTATCTAATCCTTCTTAAAGTAAAGAGGATGAGGTGAGATTAAAACTATAGCTTTATATCACTTTGAAATACCTTTAAAATAAAGAATAATATATCTGAGAATACAGCTTTGCTTCATTTAAAGTTATTATTATTATGTTTTAAAGAGCTGGGTATGGTGACGTGTGCCACTAACCCCAGCACTGAGGAAGCTGAGCGTGTCTATCACAGTGCTCTGCAGATAGGAGAATTAAGAATTTGGTGCATCCCCAACTACCCAGTAAATCCCAGACACAAAACAAGCCTTCAGGCAACACAAAAACGACAGCTCCCTCACTGTCAGTTCCCACTGTTTGCCCATAGCATATGAAGTACTACCTAGCCTTGGTCCAACCAACTAATACTTCCTGAGTGGTTCTGAGGGATAAAAGATGAAACAGTGCAATAAAACAGAACTCTTCTGTACTGAAAAAAAGTAGAGTAAACGAAGGTTTTTTTTTTTTTTCTTACACGTAAAGTCTTTAAGGTAACTCCAAGAAGATATTCATTCACAGACTAATATTACCTTTGAGGGAGAAAAGACAAAAGTTGCAAATTACTTAAACACTTTGGTTCTTGTCAATTTGTGTAAGGTCTAGTCTCTCATGTCTTCTAACTTTCCTAGCTGCAACTAATGAGAAAGGTTTGGTATGGCTCATTTGCCTTCAAATGAAAGTGATCTTGTTTATTGAGAAATATAATGTAATTTAAAATGAAAACAAACAAACAAACAAAATATTCCCCTCATTTACATCATTAGAGTTTACATAAGGATTACAGTAAGAAAAAAGAAACCTCTAGATTTCAGTTTTCAATTTCAAGAGTAGAATGTGTTAGAAGTTACATTCTTTAGTGTGCTCATGCATGTGTGTGTATGTGGTATGTGCGTGTGTGGCAGACCAGTGTGTGTGTGAGTGTGTGTATGTATGTATGTATGTATGTATGTATGTATGTATGTATGTATGTATGTTTGTATGTAGTATGTGTGTAGAAGGCCAGTGTGTGTGTCTGTCTGTGTGTGTGTAGTGTGTAAAAGGCCAGAGGTTGACACTGGGTGTCTTCCTCCACGGAGTGCTACCTTCTATAGACTAGGGTCTTTCACTCAAGCCCAGAGCCCACAGATACGAAGGAATGACTGAGCTAGCTAGCCATCTTGCTCTGCGATCTCCTTTCTCCACTACCTGGGTTCTGGGATCACTGGTAGGATGCCGTGTCCATCTGGCATAAGCTTGGTGCTGGAGATCTAAACTATAGTCCTTGGGGCTTGCCTGGCAAATACTCTAACCACTGGGCAATCTCCTCAGACCCCATAAGAGAAATTTTAGAAATGATTACCTAATCTTAGTTTTACATTTCAACTGCACAAAGAAATAACAGCTTGGAAACATGGTAGTGCATGTTTGTTGAAGGCTGAAGTTAAAAACATATACAAAGGAACAATCACAGAGGAAACGTGAGACAGATTCCTCTGCTACATACATCTTACTCTGAAAGTCTATCACACAACAACTGAAAACACATACGTGGTTGGTTTACTGTGCTCGTTAATCTCACAGGTCAATTTGAGAGAGTCGATGGTATCCAGATACTAACTCAACACTATGACAGGTATTTCTTTGAAGACATTTTACTGGATGGTAGCAATATTTAAATCAGAAGAACCCAAATAAGGTAAATCACTGTCCACTGTGTAAGTGGACCTCATCTCATCATTTGACACCCTAAAAAAAAAAAACATTGACTTTTCCTGAAGGAAAGAAATTATGCCAACAGATTTCCACCAGACTACACGGAAGGCACAGTACGTAGAGAATAAATGAATTGTGCTTTGGGTACTTGCTGTGGTGGTCTCAATGGAAATGGCCCTCACAGGCTCAGAGAGAGGGGGTTGGTGGAGTAGGTGTGTGGAGGAAGTGTGTCACTGGGGTGGGCTTTGAGGTTTCAGAAGCCCCAGGATAGGCCCAATGTCTCTTTCTTCCTGCTCCCTGTGGATCCAGGGGTAGACTCTGCTTCTCCAGCGCCATGTCTGCCTGCACACCGCCACGCTTCCCACCATGACGATAATGGAGTAAACCCCTGGACTGTAAGCCAGACCCCATTAATGGTTTCCTTTATTACAGTTGATCATGTATCTCCACACAGCAATAAAACCCTAACTAAGACGCTTGTCTAGGAAAAGTTAATAAAAGTCATTATATTCCAGTAGAATACAGTTTTAGAAGGCAGGGGGCTTTTGTTAAGTCTAATAAGAAGTTGTATGTTCTAAAACTGCAAGTGCTTCTGTTATGTACAAGGCAGTGTGAAGAAGCAGTGTGCTGAACACCAGGCCCAGCCTCACTTCTGGCAGGTCAGTGCTGACCCTCTGAGCTCAGCAACCAGCCCATCATGTCGTATGGACCGGGGTTTACCTATGTTTATTTTTTCTAGTTTCTCTTTTTTTCCTCCCCATCAAGATTTTTCTCAGTATTCTTTCATGATCCACGTGTCTAATGATGAGGAAAGAAAGCTCAATTTCAACTGATATCTTATTAAATTCACATATTTTTTTGAGCAGAACTGACAACACAGTATTACACTGGTACAAAACATGGGATGTCTTAACATTTCCTCAAGATAACTGTGCATTTCAGAAATATATTAATGCTTTCTTCATCCTGTTTTGTACATTTCTTGCATTGTCACATATTTCACCTTTGACATTGCTAATGGTAAATGGGATGTTCTCTTTCATCATCTAATTTTTGAATATGTAAAAGATATTGGTTTTATATACTGAATTTTATATCATGCTCTCTGAATTTCTATTCTGTTACTATATTAGTTTTAGCACTGATTTGGGGGTGTCTGGTTTAAAGTTATATTATCTAAAGTTTCACCTCTTTTCAAAAAACCAAATAACCAAATAAAACAAAATAAAACCTATAAAAGATACTTAAGGATGAAGAAAGCCTCTTCAACTAAAACAACTCATCACTTACTTGATTTGGCATATAGAAATGTTTAAAATACTTTTAAAAAGAGCCAAGTGCATATCAGCATATGAAAATGAAGAGGTTGTTTTTTGGTTTGTGGTGTTGGACAGCTAGATGGACATTTTGGAAAAAATTGATCTGTATCTCACAATTTATACCAGTATACTATATTCAAAATGCATCAAATAATTAAAATGAAGGTAAACACAGGTAAACTGTGCTTCAAATTAGATATGAGGAAATCTTTCATAAACAATTTTTTTCTAATTTCAAAGTTAAATGGAGCATGAAGAAAATATTTATAACCTCTGTCTTTGATAAATGACAAGTTGATGTTAGGAAAAACCAAAGTCTACAACTAAGAAGGTGATGTAAGTTGAAGGGCAGTTTCACTGTAAAGTCACTGTAAGAACTTTCCCTTCTAGGTATGGTTACTGAGTGGGGGGGGTCTGGGGTTATGACTCACTGGCAGTGTATGTGCACTGAGCCCCAGGATGGACCTTCTGAATTCCTTATCCATTTAGAGCCTCAAAACTTGAAAGCACGAAAGAAAAGCACAACATGAACATTGGACATTACAAGCAAGGAAGCATTCAAAGGCCAACTGGTTCATCCCACAGGACATAAGAACAGGCACAAGACACTCCCTAATCCTATTTGCACAGATCCTGAAGTCTTAGCTGCAGCAGTATGACAATGAAAGACATAAATGGGATACAAATAGGAAAGAGGAGTCTTAAGTATCTTTATTTGCAGATGATCTGATTCCATATGTAAAAAAACCCTAAAGATGTTACCAGAAAATTTCTATAACTGATAAACACTTTTAATAATCTATCAGAATAAAAAAATTAGTAATGTTTATATATACAAGTGATAAGCATAACAAGAAAGAAATTACAGAAACAATGATATCCACAATAACCTCAAAAACCAAACCAAACCAAACCAAACAAAAACCGTGGACTCAATCTAACCAAAGTGAAATATTTGTCTAGTGAAAATTTTAAGACACTGAAGAAAGAAGTAGAAGATACCAGAAGATGGAAAGACCTTTCATGGTTATGGATTGAAAATGGCCATCCTACCAAAAGCAATCTATAGATTCAGTGCAATCC